CAGGTCGACACATGAATATTGGCTGTCATGTTCATAATGTATAATAATATGGAATGTCAGTGTGACATGACATAACAGTGTGGGATTAATGTTGATGAATTAATTGAATGGAAATTAAATGGGAAGAAGAACAACCTAATTATTTTAACAGTTATAAGACAAACAGCTCCACTTGACCTGATCAATAGCAGAGCTAAATTTGGTATTTAGTAAGAACAAAAGTCAATATTAAACTGAACATGCATTTGGCTAATTCCGAAGCATTTAATATGTACTAAGTTTTATTGAGTCTGATGCGTGGTGCAAATTTATATTGAGCTATTGGCGAAAAAGTTAAATATTGGCTAATTAATATGCTAATCAATTCATTACTTGATCATGTGTCAGTAGATTTCAGTGCATAAATTCTATTCAGTAAATCGTAGATGCACACTAACTCTATGTATCATGTGTTTAATAGATCTTCTGTCTCGAGCATGTGCTCTGAATTCACTCTCCTTGAGTTTTTGTATATCCCCAACAAATAGACACCAGTTGTCTGTTGCTGTCGCCATTATTTTCTTAAATAAAAATGGAAATAAATTAGTATTATTTGAGCATCAGCTAGACAGTGGCTAATTTGAAATTGTTGTCATAAACATTATTATGTGTAAGTATACATTGATAACAAGATGTCTACATACTAATAGCAGAGCTGACATAGATAATAACAAATATACTGGCGTATCCGTAATAAATCGACAGGCCTCTAAAGTATACACAGTGTCGGTAAATTAGGGCCGAATGAATAAAATGTTCGTGATGGACACGTTCCTTTTTACGTACCTTATTTGACGTTATAGAAATCCAAAAACGAAAATGGCTACCACTTGAGACGGCGCCTCCGCAGGCGTGAATAGACGATTTTGTTGACACACACACGAATTTTTTTTTTTTCAAAGATAGCGCCCTCACAGGCGTAAAAAGAATAACGCACGCGATTTTTTCACACGAACAATAAACAATATCATTCAGAAATAGCGCCCCCTACAGACATAAATAGGTTAATGCACGCGTTTTTTTTCTTTTTACACACACGAAATTTTCATTCGATCTCACACACGCCATTTTTAAAAACACACACGTCATTTTTAAAAACACGTCATTTATTAAACACACATTATTTTAAAACACACACTATTTTAAAACACACGCGTCATCTAAAATATACACACCATTTTTATGCACATACCATTAAAACGCACAGCCGCCGTTTTTAAAATGCTCACACCATTTTAAAACACACGCGCCACGGCCTCCAATACGTACGTAACTTTGAATAATTAGTACGTTTTATTCTAGTATACACAAAATAGTAAATTTACATTCCGCGCCTCGTATACGGACACACCTCGCGAGTGGTTCGAAAATGACGACTAGGTTGAACTATCCACATCCACGTAAAAGATTGTCGACTACTTGACCGATTACGACACCGGTACAGCAGACGAGAAAGTAAGTATAGAAAATCTGCTGCTCGTCGATATCCGACAAATAAACAAAGCCATTGTTTCCGTTTACACAGAGAGCATGTGCCCATCTAATTTCCCTTTGACACTGTCGTTTTAGTTTTCTATCCTCCATGTTCAGCCGTGGTTTCAATCAATTTACATAGCTTTGCGTTTTTTCTCTTACAAAATAATATTCACGTTTTGTTTGGAGTTTAAAGTAATGAATGTAGACATAACAAATGATACTCGCTAATGACGAAGAACGATCGATATGTAACTGTAATCTTCATACTAAATTTGCATAACGAACTTGGTAATCGCTCTGTTATCTACTGTAAACTGTACGGGTTATTCCAAAGCCGTAACTGATAGATATTTACCCAGCATTTTTTTTAACAATAATTCACGAGCAGTAATTAAAGAAGGGACTGTTTTCCTTCGATTTCTGCTGCGGTTAGCTACACCAGTAGTCTTCTCGTCGCACTCTGACACAGCAATTTTTTTGTTTCAAACAACGGCCATTTTGTTTCACCATGAAAACTGTCAGCGTGTTCTGTGGGACAGTAATGTTTGTCAGAGGATTATCCCTCGTTGTTCGTTTGAATAACAATGGAAACCCGAACGTTCCTGGAGTACGAACTCAAATGCCAGCAGTTTTCTTAATTTTTCACGTCGAGCTTGAAATTATTCATTATCTGACACTCTTTATGAGTTTTATGATATCAGTGGTAAATATGTTTGCCCATTTTAAGTGTATATTTATAATAATGCAGCAAATCTACAGTGTTTTATTGTCCCAAACGGTTTTTTTTGTTCGAGTTGAAGTTTTGATTGAGTACGACTCATTGGGAGCGCCGCCAAATCAAGTGCGATTGGACTAAGACATTTAAACTTGCACTTATCGTTCACAAGATAATAATGATGCGAAATATGTCTGGGTTTTTTAAGAAAATGCTTTGTCACAGAATAATAATCTATTGAATGTGGCATGTATGAAATAATTAGGGGACAAAAAACAAATATGCAAGGAAATCGGAATAATAAGTCTTTTGATTATCGGAAATTCCGCATCGTGCTCTCGCAATCACGGACTTAGTCACTTTTACAAGGTTTACATTTTTGTGGTCACGTGGTATTTACGTAAACTTTGACTCTCCAGTTTGTGCGAAGATGTCCCTCTATACATAGGCCTTTGGAATATATACGCTAAATTAAGGTTCTGAATGAGACAATAAACAGAGAATGCTTTAATCAAAAACTTCATCAAACCTTTCTTGCTACCTTAAACCATTGTAAGAATTCGTGAACCCACCTAGTTTGTGGGTAACATATATACATTTTGTACTTTTTATGTTCTTGTTGATGATGCTTGGAGATAAATATAGTCTGTGCAGCTTGCCTTGAACTCGGTCGCAATTGTCATTTTGTTTCACTTCGTTCATAAAGTGGCGACCACCACGGCCGTGCCATTTTGTGACAACTGGAGCATGGACCAGGATTCACTTTAAGCTGGTTTGTGAGGACTGGGGTACATCATTTCTAAACATTATTTAGGCCCATGGCGACTTGAGTTCATAGGCAACCGCCAGTTTTGTAGCTCGTCTCTAAGGTAAATATAGGTAGGTCAATTTTTCAGGTTATTGTATAGAATAAAAAAGCGGCATAATTTACAACATGGATTACGAAAAAATGGTGAAATTGGGAGAAAGGGCGGGACTGTCTGGTGAGTCTCTCCTAGAATTCGTTGAGAAGCGTGAGCAGTAGGTCATTGATAGAGAGGAACTTTCTCAGAAGAGAGCAGACCAAAAACTACTGGTCAGGAGGAGGAAAATAGAAAAAGAAAGGAAGAAGAAAGCAAAATGCCCTCATAAGGGGAAAAGGCAGATTAGATTAGCTGAAATAGAACTGAAAATAGAAAAAAAAAAGAACTGGCACAGATACAGCGAGATGATACAGATAGACTTGGACAGATCTAGACGAGAGGGAAATACAAATTTGGGAAATGAAGTCTGAGTTACCATCAATCCAAATCGGTGAGTCTAGAATGGATGCAGAGGAAAAGACTCTTCGCCCCAACCTAGCAAAATTTGAGGAAGGCGATTATATTGATGCCTTCATAGAAAGATTTGAGCGCTTTACAAAAATACAGGGTTGGCCAACTAACACATGGGTGGTTAGTCTGAGTCCACTATTAGCAGGCAAGGGACTGGCGGTTTATGCCAGTAAGCCACCTGATGCGGTGGATGACTATGATCGTCTAAAGAAGGCGCTGCTGAAAAGATATGAACTAACTGAAGAGGGATTTCACAAGAAATTCAGAGAAAGCAAACCTGAAAAGAATGATACAGTTTTCACTTTTGTTTTTGAAAGGAAAGCATTTCCCAGATGATGCAGCCTTGATTTCTAAAGTTACGACGGGGTTGGAGGACCAACCTGGGGTTTTCTACTAAAACGGTGTCCAGAGCTGCATCAAACGATGGAAGTAATGCATAACTCTGGGTGGTTCCTATGTAGAGAAAAACTAATAACAAAAGAGCCATTTGTCTGTTTTCTACTTGTATTTCACTTGTGTCATACAGAAGCAGAACAGTTATACATATCATATGCGTTATTATTTTTCATTAGGTCCTCCGAATGGCTCGAGAGGTGATCCTCATATGAGGACATTCGATGAACGTGCATATACATTCCAAGGCACAAGCTGGTACATTCTGTTCAAGGACTGCACCGACAATCCTCGTTTTGAAGTGACAACCAAGTTTGAACCAAGAGAAGATAGTACACCAGACAGAGTCAGAACAAGAACAATCTCATTCAATGTAACAGTTGGAAATCATTACGCGATCGTTAATGGACTGGATGTTACTACAGTAAGTTGTCAATATGTATTATGATGTTGAAAAGAAAATTCAAATGAAATGTTTATGAATTCAGCGATCATAAGATACTGAATAATCATTCATTTCACAGGGAAGTACAGGTGGACAGGTGACTGACGCAAAAGCTATAACAATTCAGCAAGAAGATAAGAGTGTTAAACTGCAATTCACTTCGAAAGACACGACATTCACTTTTAATTGGACTCTGAGAAAGCATACATTAGATGTATCCTACGCCGGCTCGTTTTACAAAGGAAACCTATGCGGTCTGATGGGTAATGCAGATGGTGATACTCGCAATGACTTCCAGAAACCAGATGGTAGCCTTGCCAAAGACGTTCCTGAATTTGGGTGAAAGCTGGAAAGTGATTAACAAAAAGTAAGTTGTTTGTATATTTCTGTACATTAATATAAATGTTTGCTCCATGAATACTAATTAAACAAAAGGTATTACAGTTTTTCAGTATTATGACAATTACTGAAGCTAATCTATTTTTTTTCCTACTCATATTGTAGGTGTCTTTAGAAATGCTACAATTGACGAAAGTTCAAGCATGTTTACAGCCCGATTACTTTTTTGAAATCTATAATGTTCGTCATTTTTGGTGATGGTTATTTGTCAAATACACAACAATTCTGATATTTCGATTTGAAGTTGTACAGCATGCGTTCTATAACTAATGACACTATAACACGTGGTTGATCGCAATCTTTGGAATATTAGTAGATAAGTAAAACATGTATTGCTCAACAAATTTAGTTTAATAAACAGATGTGGACAGACAGACGTTTGAGATTCAATATGTTGAAAATACGATGGAGTGTATCTAGTGTTAACAGTCACCATCATACTTTCAGAAACTGCAAAATTATCTGATGCTGGTTTATTAACTACTTTTATCGTTATAATAGCCCGAATTGAAGTCATAACTCGAGAAAACATCTTGGTCGTAATACGAACCAACATCAGATAATTTTAGGTCGAAGTGTAACGCTACACTTAGTGTGAGGGGTATTTACTCTGACCAATGATATTAAACTTTGCTGTTGGATAGAGCAGCGGTTCCTCACTTCAAATAATACCCTTGAAAGCCTGGACAAGTATGTATATTGTTTCACTAGAACGACTGTCCCAAGGGATTTTCGTCTTCTTAATTTCTCAAGATAAACCTCCCAAGGTTGTTTTGTTTACTAAAGGGAAATTTCTTTTGGCAGCATTTTCCATTGCACAAAAAAGCAGCAAATACTATTACTGAAGCACAGAATTTGCAAATCATGGCTAATACGCATCCATAGTTGTTGACACTTTGCAGCCGCCACGATGGATCTATTATTGTGACGTATGTGACCCCGGACTCTGACCTTGAATTCTGACTACCTTTTCTACCAGTTCGATTTCCTTTTAGTATTTCATGCAGATTTCATGATATTTAATATTTAACTGGTTTACTGGTCACTCTAGTTTTCACTTTTCTAAAATTATTTACTGATCAAAAGACTTATCACTCCCATCATGCAAGCCCCCATAGTACAGACACATTGACGATCACCAACATAAATACAAATAACCCTCGCTAGGGAATGATACCGGTGTATCAGTGGATAAACAATTAATGTGTTCACTTTACGTTTTCTTATACGATTGCTAGATATAAATCGTGGTGAACAAGGAATTGGTTCACTGCACTCGTTACCATTTCATATTCCGATTGTAATTAATTGGTTAAAAAGACCAAGCAACGTATATATTTGTAGAAACACTCACATATAAAATAATACTATTTTCTGAAAACAAATAACTACGCATTTGTGCTTGTGTTAAGAAGCTATTTTTCAAGTTTTTATTTCAGTGGTCTTTTAAAGTTTATGCGTCTCAGCAGTTGAATACGTGCGCCGCGTTTAAGAAAGTAACGATTGCCCACACGGTAATTATCACACATTGAAAAATAATCTTTGACATAAGTAGCGTTTGTGCACATCTCATTAAAACGAGCTAAGAGGACATCAAGTTTAGTCCGTGTTAAGAAGACGTTTGTTTTTTTCATCGTCCTAATCGCGAGATTTCGTGAGCTCGGTGTGCGGGATTGCACTGACAAGTCCCTTATTTTACCTCGGAAGATGCATATATCTGATCGGAGACGCCTCTAAAAGCATGCGCCCAATCAGAGTGGCGTAACATGTAACAAATAGTCTTGACCAAAATGTAGCATTGTGTTGCCGAACGCGAATAATCGCAGATGCAATTTATGAACAGTTCCCCACTTGTCAGGATTTATTTGTTATGTGGTCTTGTACTTGACAAAAACTACATTTGGTCGAACTATTTATGCAGTCTGTCCCTTGATACTGGTACAATTTGACGCAAGCAACGCATTCGATTCCATGCATCGGGCTTGAGCCTGGGTTGGTCTGTGCAAAATATTGAAATCATTCTCAGAGTCTTATCAGTTCGCAGTTCTTACCTCAAAGACATACCGTAAATACAGTTGTTATGTTTTCTAATATGTGATTGTTGAAAGTCTTTGTTCATTCTATACTGAGAGCGTATATATCTTATATCATGTACACCTGAGACCAATACAGTAGTGAGTGCACCACGAATATTAGTGTGCATTTCAAAGCGGCCGTATTTCATAGCTGTGTTTCTTTGGTATGGTGAATTGATAGAATTAATTGATCTAATCAGTGTGATGTTTAGCCCTCGGGTAACAGATTGTAAAATATCAGTTCAATGTCTGCTTGGAAAGAAAACTTCTATCGTACAATTGTGTCTGTGATGTATATATGACGAGCAATTTGACTGGACAATGCATTGGAGAAATTATTTCAAGTTGCCAGAGAGGGCGCACTTAAATACACGTTGGATATATACCATATACCAAGGTGTAGTGGTTAGTTGATGGCCGAATAAATGAACCTTGGCTGGCAAAGAGGTTTTATTTGTCAGACCCGGTACGATTCTCAGCGTGGGCATGAAAGTTATTAGAGGTCTTCCGTGGCTAACAAAGTGTGCGCGGAATCTTAACACGAGGTAAGCGCCTGGCGTCATTGTATTCAATGTCAATTCTATCCAAGATTCACTATTATATTCATAACTATTCATTTCGATATGCCATTTCCGACATGAGAATCAACGCGAGAATATTTAGGGATATTTTTCTCCAGAAAAAAAATGTGTGGTTGGATATCACAATAGAAGACAGGATTCGTATGATAACGAGTTTGGTAGTGTATATATACTACGCAGTTACGAAACAAAGTGACAGTGAGACAATATTCTACAGCAAAGAATACTCTTTATTCGGGAATATGACATGCGTCATAGAGCGTCAGGTTGAAACAACCGAAGAATTACATTAAATCACAGTTTATATAGATAGCCAAGGATTCACACCATGTAAATATCAGGGGGGAAATCTTCTCCTCTGGGTTCTCCACACGTGCCAGGGGGGAATCTCGTCTGGCCTCTATATCGCGTCCCCTTGAGTTACGGGATCGAGAAAGTCACTTAAACTTTTACAGTCAAATAAGACGCATACACCGGAATACGTTTCAACTCTCGTCATTTAGTCAGTCAGTCAAGTACTCTATAAGACACAGCTCCCTGGGGAAAAGTCCCCAAGACTATCGCAAGGCTGACGCAAGACTCGCCCAGGACTGCCCCAGACTGCCTTAGACTGCGTCTGTCGTGGTGTTCTCGCCCAGACCAACTAAAACTCTCTTTATTCACTTTCAAAACCTTAACCAATTACAAAGAAGTATTAAGACTCTAAGGCGTGGCCTTCACACATTCAACTAATCACACTAAGTACTGGACACGTCATATCTTTTGATTAATTGTTCACTACATTAGTAACTTCGAATACCAACTGTCAGAAATAGTAGTCCGAATAGCGATGGTTATATCGTAATTAGTTCCAAATTACTGAGTCGAGTTCCGTCCAGGACCTCGCATGGGTCTAAACGATGACAGACATAACACAGCCATTCGCTCGCAACCAGCTAAATAAGTTGATCAACAGATACGTGCAAACAATTTCATCATATAAATAAACTCCGGCTGTATTTACTTTCGAAGTGTGTTCACTCTTACGTTAGTATCCATAACCTTGAAGAGTTAAATGGCGTTAAATAGTCAAGGTTGTGTTAGTATGTCACAGGGATACATGTAATTTCAAAGGAATACAACAATACTGTGATTCAAAGCGAAAATAAAACGAATCGATAACGAATAATTAATATGAATAAAGTGTTCCCGATATACACCCGGGGACGAAAGAGAACTCCTGGAAATAAACGATATGAAATATAATGTACGTTATTGATTCTTGAATGAAAAATATGGAATTAAGGTAGCGAGAGGGGAAACATAATTTATAGTTTAATGGAGTTTAGGACTTTGCTCACCAGTTACTAAGCATGCAGTTATGCCAATGTATATGTTTTCAGAAAGCTGAGATATAGCAGAATACGATAATATATGTTTCGTCATGATATTTGCTCAGGAGATTAAGTTACGTTTCTATGTTTCTGATCTTTTCGCTGTTGCTTTATAAGATAATGATCTTTGAGAATGCGTCTCGAAATTTGTATGTGCCCCATAGTTCTGGAGATAAAGCATGTTGAACTGTATGAACTAAATTTTACGAACGTCTTCCTGTTCCCAAGGCCGTAACTCAACGTCAACGGCTCATAAACGTCCATGAGACATCATATATTAGCCCATTTTGTGGCAAATAGATTGTGTAATTTGTACATCGTTAGCGTAGAGAAAAGTGTTGAAAGATGACATCTTCAATAGTTATGATAGTCAAAAATTAGTTTCCGTAAAAACTCAATAAAACGTTGTTTTCGAATTTGGTCACAGATAAACAGCTAATCAATGATAAAATGTCGACCATTTCGAACATACTTTGTAAATACACAAATATATGATATGCGTGGAATGTTAGATCATGAAAAATTGGTTGGTTGTTTCCTAAAACGTCACAAAACTTAGCAGTTTCGTCGAAAGTGGGTGCTAACTTGAGCAAGATGGCGTACCGCGCAATTCATCTTATTCAAGTCCCTTTGCTATGTTGAACAGCGTCAACAGTACAATCGGTTCTCTAAACATAGGGCGGGCCTTCATGACAGCATATATTTATTTACGGGATATACATGCCTTCAAGTACAGATATGTTTGCATTACTCTCAGCCTATGGAGAGTGTACCGTTATCGGATTCTGTTATAATCAGTTAGCTCTAAGTCAGCACTACCGGATTTGGCCGATACCCCGCCCGGGCGATCTTATGGAGGATTCGATTTTTTTTAGAAA